CGCCATCCCCGCCTGCCCTCTCCCTCACTCGCCCAGACTCACAGCTGTCAATATCTGCAGACGCCAGCTTCCCAGAGGGTCCGAAGTGAATGCGGATGAACTTGCCCTGTGGGCAGATGTGCGGGCTCAGTCAGCAGGCCCAGCCCGTGCTGCCCTGGCTGCTGAAGGCTCCCCGCTGCTGGTCCCGCTCCACCACCCGCCTCTCCCACCGTGGCCACTCACGAAGCGGGATGAGTTGTCGTTCCGCAGGGTCTTGGCGTTGCCAAAAGCCTCCATCGCGGGGTTAGCCTCAATGATTTGATCCTCGAGGGTGCCCTGGTGGGGTGAGGGGTGCTCACTGACTGGGACCCCAGATCGGCCCATCCCAGACAACCTGTGGTCCGGAAGGGGAAGGGCAGGGTCCCCAGGACCTCATAATTGTCACCTGCCCCGCTCACACTGGCCCCGTACTCACCCCAGTCTTTGTGGCCAGAAATTGCTGGGGGGAGAAGGAAGACAATGTTAGAGGGTGTGAGGTCTCACCAGGCCGGGGTGGCAATGGTTAGCAGGGCAGTGAACATGAGCCCCTCACCCCACTCCCCATGCCTCACCCTCCCAGGACTGTTACAAGGAGAAATGCTAGAAAGTAGGAGCAGGCATGGCAGGGGGATGAGTCTGGGGGAGGGAGTCTTCCACTGGCAGCCCTTCCCCTCCCCCAGCCGTCTCTGGCCTCTTCCTTATCCCTTTATTTCCCACACTCCAGGAAGTAGCCCTTGCCCCAGGCCCTGCAGGTTCCTGACTAAAATCTACTTTCCTTCAGAGCCCAGTGCAAATGCCCCCTCCTCTAGGAAGCCTTCCCTGATGCTCTTCAGCTGGAGATCTCTTTTGCCTGAACCCTCTTACCCGCACCTCCCCCTGTAACGGCCCTTCTCCACACTTCGCCTTTGTGTTGTGATTAGACACGTCTGTGCTGCACCTACTATTATTCAAAGTGGCCCTGCCACTCTGCCCTGCTAGATGCCTGCTCGTACCCTGCTTTGCAAATGAGGAATTAAGCCTCATAGCAGGTGAGGTTGGGGAGGGGGGGACGTCAGAACAGGCACTGAGCCCGGGCGCCTTCCTCCCGCAGCGCCCACAGCCACCCGTGTGTCTCCCTAGAGAGTCTTACTGAATGGAGAGAGCCCCCGCCACTTTCCTCCCCTAGCCTGGCCCTCGTCTTCCCTCCACTGCCCTTTCCTTCTCTTGACTACTCTGGATCCCAGCCGCCTGAGAAGAAAGGAAGAGGAGGCAGAATGGATTCTGCAGTGACAGATGCCATGCTACCAAGGGACTTTGGTTATTCACTCACTTCCAGAGAGCCCAGGACTTAAGCAATCGCCCCAGAGGTATTGGTGGGGTGACGGAGGCAGGTAAGAAATGGCAGGAGCCCACCCCCCAACTCCACTCCACATAATCTCAGCCAAAGATGTGGAACAGGGCTCTCCCTGGAAGGTGTGGTCAAATTTGAGGCCACAGGGCGGGGAGGTTGACAAGGTCTTTACATTCCAGAACCCACACCCTGCACCCTGCCCGGTGAGGGGTCCTTTCTGATCAGGGCCCGCCCCGCCCAGGCCCTGCCAGTTCCGGCCTCTTCCTTCCCTCCATTCCTGTTACTGGACCAAACCCCAACTCTCTGCATCCCCCTCACAGACACTTCAGGGGTTTGGAAAACGGGGTGGGGAGAGGAAGGAGGAAAAAGTACCAAAAAGTCAACAGCAAAAACAAAACAACAAAAACAACCACCACAACAACAAAAAACTGAAATAAAAATCAAAAGCCAAGAAATTCAAATGGGGAAAAAGGAAAAGGCAAAAAGAAAAAAAAAAAAGCTTAAAATGGAGAAAAGAAAAGAAAATCAGAAAAAAGAAAAATGCCCCAGAATAAAGCAAGGCTCAACTGGACCGGGAGTGGGGACTGAGTGGGAGGGGCCTAGGGCCTCTGGGAAGAAAGGGCCGCCTGTTTCCGGGGTGGATTCAGGGAGGGGCACACAGGGATCGAACCATTGGCCTGGGGTATAGGAATGAATATTGTACCTCAAAAACCAAAAAAAACAAAAAAAAAACCCAATACAAAACAAAACAAAAACTGGTCCCCCTAGTGTTTCAGAAATTTTCAAAAACCGTACAGAAACCACAGGGGACAAAACTGCTTCCTCCCCTGGCTGCTGGAATAGCCGGTGCCCCGGGCTCTGGCTAAACTCCACGGAAGCCTGCTGGTTTGACTGACGGCAGGTCGCTGGTGCGTGACAACCAAGAAAACAATCATTTCTTAGCAAAAGCAGCCTATCTGGTAAACTCTCGAAATATGAAGGTCATAATGGGAGGGGAAAACTAAATAAAAAGTTTAGGATCAGGGACGCTGCCCCTCCCCCCTCTGTTATGGGTGGGAACGCCAAGACAGGACCAGGACTGGGGGACACAGCGTGGCAGAGGGGGCCGTAGCCTCTCTGGTCAAGCCTTGCTCAGGCCAGAGTCCCCCACCAGGGTGGAAGGCTCAGGCAGGGCTGAGAGCTCTAGGGAATCAACTTAAAAAGAAAAAGAAAAAGAAAAGGAAAAAAGGAGGAGAAAGACACAAAAAGAAAAACAGAAGCAGCGGCGAGCAGCGCCCAAGTGGGCGAGTCTTACGGCCTTCTTGCCCGGCCCGTCTCCCAGGGCAGCGACGATGGCAAAGTACTGAATGACCCGCTTGGTGTTAACCGTCTTACCGGCCCCCGACTCTCCGCTTGGACAACACAAACATGAGTCACCAATGCCCATCTGGCCACTCTGAGCCCTCCCTTCCCCCAGTGCCCCACCCCACAAGTGGGGCCCTTCTGCCCTCCCCCCACCCAGCTCCCAAGTTAGGACCCCAACTTGAAACCTCTCCCGAAGGGCGCAGCCCTGGGAAGTTCTGAGCAGTTTACAAAGCAAGCCAGTGCAGCTCATCCTGGTCAGATGAGAACACACCTAATGCGGCTGCTCACTGAGCACAAACTTAGTGCCAGGCACTGGGGCAAGTGCTGTATCTATGTTGGCTCATTTAAGCCTTAGAAACCTGTAAGATAGGCACCATTACCACCTCCGTTTTATGGCTAAGAAAATGGGTTCAGAGAAGCTATGTGGCTGTCCCTGCCCTGTGCCAGGGTGGACATGAACTTGCTGGCTCTGCAGGGTGGGTGGGTAGGATTGCTCTGCCTTTGCTGATTGGACTCTGAGGCCTCAGGGTACCAGCAGGAGGAAGTGAACATAGAACATGAACCCAGGTCTTTCTGGTTCCAAAGACCATGCCCTTAACCACCAACCTGCACACACACACACACACACACACACACACACACACAAACAATATTCATATTGGCTTGGTGGGACGTGAACTTGGCATGTTAGAATTCAACCACTTTCCCATGGAGGCAAAGAAAGGATCAGAAATAAGACCCAGAGGTAAGGAGATGATAAGGAGGAGGACAAAAAAAGGAATCTCCCACCTGGAACCAGAATCAGAACTCCCAAAAGATCAGTGTGGGAGAAGATTCTAGGCCCTGGGGAGATGGGTCTCAGGGCTGGCGACCATTCTGGTGCTTGGGAGTCTCTTCTCTGCTCACTGTCCATAACTTGTCTACCCAGGATGGGAGCAGAGAATGTGCTCTAATTTAGCTTCAGCTGACAGACTGGCACCAAGCAGTGAAAGTCCTATCCTAAGCAATTTTGAAGAAATTTTTTAGCCTCACCCAAAGGTATTTTTTCATGGCTTTTTAGAGAGAAAGGGAGAGAGGAAGGGAGAGAAACATTAACAAGACAGAGAAGCATCAGTTGGTTGCTTCCCACACATGCCCAGACCTGGGGTCATACGTGCCAGGATGGGGCCAAACCCACAGCCTAGGCGTGTGCCCTGACCAGGAATTGGACCTGCAACCTTTCGGCCTAGGGGATGACGTTCCAACCACCTGAGCCACACCGGCCAGGGGTAAGCACTTTGGAATCAACCCTGGGAAATGATTTTAGTTCCACTCTCTTCCTGCCACACAGGGCCAGCATGTCCCACCCCGTCCCCAGAGCCCCACACTTACGTGATCAGCATGGACTGGTTTTCTCGGTCTGGAGGAATGGGAAGGAGACACAGAAGTTAGCCCAGGTGAGGGATGGGCCCCAAGTGGAACACACTGGGTATCCATGGCACCGGGGCAGCCCCTCCACCAGCCAGAGCCAGAAGTGGGAAGGACCAGAGGGGGCCTCCAGCAGGCAGCCAGCTCCCACGTGGAGAGACGGGATGGCTATGCGAGAGTGCCTGGCAGCCTCCAAAGCAGGGCAGTGCGGGTGGAGGAAGGGGGTCCTTTACAGAGGCTTCCCTGGAGCTGGGGTGGGGGTCTTGGGCGGGAAGAGGAAGAGGAAGAGGAGGAGTGGAGGCAACCCTTACTCCGCAGCATATCATTGTAGGCATTATCTGCCACCGAATATATGTGGGGTGGGGCCTCGGAGCGGCGCTTTCCCTTGTAAGCGGCCACCACGGAGGGTGTGTAGACTGGGAGCCATTTGTAGGGGTTGATGGTGACACAGAAGAGGCCGGAGTAGGTCTGAGGAGAAAGGGCATAGACGGGTTGTTGGAAGCTGACTTCCCATTCCCAGGCCCCAGCTCTTACAAAACCATGACCTTTGCATTTTTCCCCAGGGAGTTACTTAACTGTGGCACGTGCTGCCCTCCGTGGCGACCCTGGCCCCAACCCAACCCTGCTCCTGCCCACGGCCCAGGTCCCCATCTCCGTGACCCCTCTGTGGAGCCTCTAGCCTCGCCCCCCACCCAGGCTGAAGCTCCGTCCCTGCACCCCCAGAACCAAAACTCCAGCCCAACTGCACAGCCCCAGGACATCGCCCTGCCCCTCGCCTTCTCCACAGCCCCGTCCCCACAGCGCCTTGGCTCTCCCTCCAGCCCGGCTCACGCTGCCATGACCCCGCCCCCACCACACGCAGCCCCGCCCCACCCGTGCCCGCTTCCGGACTCACGTAGATCATCCAGCGCGCGTAGCGTTGGCGCAGGTTGTGTAGCACCGAGGCCTCGTTGAGGTGCGTCATCATGGCCATGTCCTCCAGCAAGTCGAAGCGGGGCGGGTTCATGGGCTGCAGCTCTGATTCCCGTACCATCAGCACCTGAGGGAGGCGGAAGGCGGAGTGGAGGCCGCGTGGTGGAGTGGCAGGCAGGCAAGTGTCCGCTGACCTCCGCCTCTCCCCCTGTAAGTGCCCAGACCTTTCACACAGAGCGCGCTGGCCAGGTGCCGCACCCGGGGGTGGGGGTGGCGGAGTGAGGGGCTAACACTGGGAAAGGGGCAGCCAAACCTTCTGGTCTTTGGTCTCCACGCTGACTCTGCCCCCGGTAGCCTCCGACTTGACCTCCGCCTCCACGTAGGCATCCTGTTCATCAGGTACCCAGACCCGCTTCTTCCCTGGGTCGGGGGGAGAGCAGTGGGGTTTTGCGAGTGCCGAGGCATGAGCAGGGGCTGGGGGTCCGGCTGGGGGTCCAGCCGGGCGTCCCGAACCGTGGCCCTAGAGCTCTGCCCCTCCCAGTATCCTCTCTTTCGGCGCAGAAACACCCAGAGTAGATCCTTCCAGGCCCCTGGCAGAGCAGAGCAGAGCTGGGAGGGACTCTAACCACCTTCTCAGGGGTCCCCCCCTGACTGGGGTAACAGTCCTTCACTGCCCCGACTACACACTTGGGTTTGGCTTCCTGCTTCTGCCGTATGTGTCCTGTGACCTCAGGAAAATCGCTCCTTGTCTCTGGGCCTGTTCCCTCAAAGGCACAATGTTATGCGGATCTCCTGAGGTGGCGTGTGGAACGGCCTTTCATGTCAGACACATACTTCTCAGGGCGATTCCGCCTCCTCCATTTCACTGAAGACTCAAACCCAGGTCTGTGCTCCTTCCTGCCTGGCCTGCTGGCCCCAGGACTTTGGCGAGCCCATATTTCATGGTGGTTAGAGGCAGGGACTCAGGCTGCAGACCACCGGGTTCTGTTCCCCGTCCTGCCACTTACTAGCCAAGTGCTTTAGTCAGGACCAGCTACATAATTTGCAGGCCTCAGTGTTAAAGGGTCTCAGTTCAGACCCCTCATTTTAAAAAAATTATTAAAAACTTCAAGATGGTGATAGAGTGATAAATCAAACACGAGGCCCTCCGGAGGACAGTTCCCTTTGCAAATGCAGAGGTGGCCCTGGTCCCTGCCTCCCCAGGTTGTTGAAATCATGCAAGGAAGGTCATATGGCCTGGGCCTGGCACACAAGAAGCACTTGACACACATTGCCTATTGTTATTATTGTCCCATGAACAAACCAGGTCATAAATAGTCGTCTTTATTCCTGTCCCTAGTAAACAGAGGCTTTGGCTCTACGGAAAGCACTAAAAATAACTTCAGGACAGGTTTTTGGACACACGGAAGCCGCCTGCACCCATACCAGTCACTCTCACCTCAGCGGTCTCAGGCCCTGGCCACAGGCTGCCGATCCCGGATGCAGCCGATACTGTCCCGTTTCACAGAGAGACAAGCCGAGGCTTGTTCACAGACACCGTGATGTGCACAGAACTTAGCCTCAGGGCCCCAGATTCTGAGGGAAAGGTCCAGAGCCCAAGCTGCCAGGCCAGAGTGCAGGCTCCCCTGAGCTGGGTGCCAACCCTCCCCACTCCTGTTCTGTGTCCGTAAAGCCTTCTCTGGGGCCGTGCCCTCCGCCTTCACTTACCATCCCATGGCACAGTGTGCACCTTCACCATCTCCTGGCAGCCCTGGCGGAGGTAGCGGGCAGACTCCCCGAGCTCACTCACATCCATCATGGTGGCAGCACTGAGAGGCGGAGGACCAGGGACTGAGAATCTTGGAGGTTTCAGGCGGTCCAAGGCAGCGAGCACTGGAAGATGGCAGTGACGGAAGAACTGAGGGACCAGGGGCCCCAAACTGGGGCATGATCCAGCAACACCAGGTGATTCCCTGCGGCTCCCACAGGCTCACCTCAGCCTCCCTGGTGAACCCCCGAGACACACATACACTCACTCGCAAACACCAGAGCATCCTCTCTCCCACAGACATGGAGAGACTCGGACCGACTCTCACCCTCACCCACTGGCCCACCTGTCTGCCCTCTCACTCCAGCCCCAGCCCTGATCACCCACCTCAGCACCACGGTGAGGGCCGGGAGCTGGGCTACCCCTTTTATTGCCGCCGTCAAGGTCAGTGAGGAGGAGAGCTATGTCAGCAATCTCCACGTGTCACAGCCCCCCCAGCCTGGCCGCAGGACACAAAAGTCAAATTCCCTTTTATCTCCACCAGCACAGCCCCTGGGCTATTTTTACCTCCCATTGTCAGGGGAGTACAAAGGCTGGAGAGAGACACTTCACTGAGAGACAGGGAGCCTGGGATTCAGAGGCTGACGCTGGCAGGGACCAAGCAGGGAGAGACTGGGGAAAACTGAGGCGCTTGGGGAGAGAAACTGAGTCACGGGGCACATGATCGACGCAGAAGAAGACCCCCAGCCCCAGAATGGAGAGCGAGGAGACTCAAAGAGGGGAAACCATGAAATGCCCTCTGGGATTCTTTAGTCCGACTCTCTTTACACATCCAGGGAAACTGAGGCCCAGAGCAAGGAGGGCACTGGCCAAATGTCACAGATGGGCACTGTCAGAAACCAGGTCAAAAGGAGAAGAGAGCAAGAGAGACACCTTCTCCACGCACCCGGATGCCGTCTCTTTCACCCAATCTCTAGCCCCACCTCTCCGGAATCCCCTGGGGAAATTAACACAGAAAGAAAACCAGACCAAAGACCATAGACATAAAGGAATGCTTTGGCTGAAGAGGAAGCAAATGGAGGAAATTTAGACCAATTAGAAGCCCCTTCACACTGTAACACACAAGATTCCCAGGAAACCGACTTCCCGCTCTTAGCCCTGTCCCCCACCCCACTTGCGACAGGGGTTGAGGGTGCTGGCACTCGGTCAGCCTGATACAGGCTTCGGAATGTGTCAGGGCACTGCCAGGCCCTCCTGTCCATCATCCCATTCAGGCCCTGGTGACACCGCAGAATTGTAGAGTCGGAGAGCCAGGGGATCCAGAAGCCTCAGACACTGCACACCTGGAATGACAGGGGCCCAGAGCCTGGGTTCCACGCGGGTGTCAGGGTGAGCTCACACAGAGAAATCCTCTATGCCAACGGGCTACCATTCCAAACACAGAGACGTGTCTGTATTCCATAAAATACATAGAAATAACTTCAAAGATATATTCTTAACCATACATAGTTTAAACCCAGCAAAACTAACGTGTAATGATAAAAATGGAAGAGTGGTCCTTGGAGGAAGGGTAAGGACTGCAGGGGGCTCAGAAGCAGCCTCTGGAATGTAGAAAACGTGGCATGTACCGAGACGAGTGATGGTTACATTACACAGGTGTGTTCATTCTGCACAGCTGACTGAGCTGTAAGCTTAGGATGAACTTCACTGTGTGTATACTCCATGAAGACGGTGTTATAAATACATGCCATATTTGGCAATATCCATCAAAATTACAAATGCCCAGACCCTAGTAGGAATTCATCCTACAGATATTTCCCCTTGTTATGGAATGATACAGGTCTCCTTTGGGTGGACGTATAGATTGTCCTGGGTCATTCCGCCATAACATAATAATCAGGGCTGTGGCGACTATGCTGTACCGTCTGATGAGTTTTCACAAAGGAAACAAACACACCCTGTTTGAGAAACTGACATCACCAGCATCCCACTCACATCCTCTTCCGCCAGCACTCCCTCACCTGCCGTCCCGACTTCCGGTGTCGCAGATTAGTCTTCCTCATTTCTAGGAATGGAATGCTATGTTACATATTCCTTCCTTCTTTCTCTTTATGCTATATTTGTGAGAGTGTCATTCTGTTTTAATTCTCTTCATAGAACTTAGGTTGTTTCCTGCCTGCCTCCCAACACTAAGAGGTAAGAGCCTGGTCTAGACGCCCAGCACCTTGCAAAATACCTGTACATAGTAGAAAGTCAGTAAGTACCTGTTGAGTAAGAAAATGAACTGCCCTGATTGTTATGGCTCAGTGGATGGAGTGTCAGACTGTGAACAAAAGGGTCGCTGGTTTGATTCCCAGTCAGAGCACATGCCTGGGTTGCAGGCCAGGTCCCCAGTGGGGGGCACAAGAGAGGCAACCACACGTTGATGTTTTTCTCCCTTTCTTTCTTCCTCCCTTCCCCTCTCTATAAAAATAGATAAATAAAATCTAAAAAAATGAACCAAAATTGATATATCATTTATATTTTAGGGTTTTAATGTCCTTACAGGGTCAGAGACGAAGGTTGTGGGTTTGAGCTATTCACAGGAAGTCCACGGGGTAGGGGAAACTGTTCAAACACGCTGAGAAAGCAGGGCTTCATGCCTAGGGCCCAAGCAATACAATTAGCCTGGAGACTCAGAACTTCTAAAACAGCTTAGTCAATACCAAGAATAATGTTGGTTTGAATTCTAGAATTACTTGCTCAGTGTAAAAACCTGGAGCTGAGAAACCAACCAAAAGAAATGGATCTAGAACTGCCCTGTAAATTCGTGTTTACCACCCAGGACACAGCTTTCTGCTGAGATGAGCTCACAGACGAGCATGACAGAGCAATGAGGAAGCCCAAGATGCACCTGAGAGATGCAACAAATGCTACAATCTCAAGGACTTAAGGTCCTGACTTTAGATACTTAAAGAGCTGTCCTGGAGCAGGGGAGCCTATGTGACTGGTTGTGACCTCGAGAACAGACCAGTGGGGCAGTTACCAGGAAGCAGAGTTAGGACATACACGCAGACAAGAACTTTCTCACGCTTAGAGCCAGTGAGCGATTGAAGAGGCGTCCTGGGAAGACAGGGAGCCTGCCAATGGCAAGGAAGAGTCGAGCAGAGGTTGCCCAGGGCCCGAGGCTGTGGACTGGGCAGCCTCTGAGATCGGCTCCAACGTTAGGACTCTAGGGTTCTAGGATTTTAGCACCTCCGGAAGCTTGGTTTCTTGATAACCACCATCCCGTTCCAATGAACCCACCCACTGAGCAGCAACTATAGGCGCCCAAAGTCTTGCTTCCTGCCTTCCCTGCCCACCATTGTCAGTATAGAGCCAACACATGTGTGCACCTATGTTTAGAATCTGGGGTGTTGGAATCCTGGGTCATTAGAATCTTGGGGTGTTGGATTCTGGGACCATCAGAACTCTAAGGCTAGAATCCTGGTGCAGAGGACGAAGCAAACATGACAACACATGTACAATGCTTTGTTAATTATTCTCTGCCCTTTCCTGTACTTTTATGTTACTCCCCCCATTTTCCTTTCTGAAGGTTTCCAAAGCACCCAGAATCAGAAGCATCAGCGCTGGAAGGGAAATTGTCTCATCCAGGCCCTCAGCTTAGCAGAGGGCACCAAGGCCCGGACGGGGAGGCCCAGGCCAGACTGCCGACCCCACTCCCAAGCTGCCGACCCCGCTCCCTGAGCACGGGAAAATCAGGAACAGAAAGTGGCTTCGGTCAGGACCAGCATGAGGGCAGCTGAGTTACTTGCAGCCCAGCCTACAATGTGTCCACCCTGCTGGGCTGGAAATGTTCTCTCCAGAAACCATTCAAAGAACCACAGTCTTCTAGGCACTTAAGGTACCGACAGTGTTGGGAAGGGCTGTCAGGGAGGGCTGGGCCTCGGGGGCTCTGGGCAGGCCTATCACTGCCCTCAAAGACTGAAATGTCATCTGCCCACCCCCACCTCCACTCCCCACAGCACAGCCAGGGAAACATGGGCCTAGCTAGGAACGGAGTTGTAGGGAAGGGGCGGGATCCAGGGTAAAGTGGCCATAGACAGAGATTGGAAGTCTTGGGACGAAGCGGAATCGAGCCAAGCTAGACATCAGGGTCTTGGTGTTCCCAGCTCCTCTCCACCAAAGGCTTCAGATCAGCAAGCAGTTGCCAAGAGTCCTGAACCTGCAGCTTAGTATCAGCCAGACCTGGAGGCAGCTGCTGAGCCGGGACTTTTTGGGAGGAGATTTCCATGAGCAATGAGTGGATGGGGCAAAGCCCAAAAGGAGCCTAGCTCCTCTGGCCTCCCCTCTTCTAGCCTGAGATGCTAGGCAGGTAGGCGGAGAAGATGTGATTTGGAAACTAACCCAGCCCAAAATATATCTGCGACTAATGCACCCCAGTGCCTGGAAGTCCTTCTTTGGAAAAGACATCGAAGGACTCCGCTAAAACGGTCCTACAGCTAGGAGGGACACAAGAATTCAATTCACTTTGCCTCTGACAGCTTCTAATCTGTGTCCAGGATGGGAACATGACACTCGTCATCCAGAATAGGAAAGGCACTCAAGGAAGATGTTAGAATGGAAGAGTTTAAAGGATAAAAGCAAGTTTGACACCCAGACTGGCAAGGAGAGGGGCGTGATAAGGTCCCTTCCCTCACAGAGCGGCAGTAAATAAAGAGCAAATGTGGTTTCCCAGGTAATGGAAGAGCGCGGCGTGTGCTATGAGAGAGCCACAGAGTAATGCTGTGGGGGTCGTGTGGGCGAACTCTGTTCAAGTTGGTCAGGAAGGGCCTCTTTGAGGAGGTCAGTTTCAAGGTGAGACCTACAGGACTAGGAGAAGACAGTCAGGCCAAGAGCCAAAGGAAGAACATTCCAAGCAGAAGGAACAGTAAAGAAAAAGCCTTGAGGCAGAAGTAGTTTGGTGGTGCGTTTGAGGCTCTGTCACAATGCTGGTGCCACTGGCGTGGGAGCAAAGGGAGGGTGTTACATGGTGAGATGAGACAGGTGGGCAGGGGCTGGGCAGGGGCTCCGGGCTTTGTCGCCCGTGCGACAGGAAGTTGTGACAGCAAGAGAGTCAGTGGTCTGAAGTTTAATAATGATCGTTCTGGCTGCCATATGGAGAATGGACTGGAAGGGGCAAGAGATGAGGAGGCCGTGGCTATCCAGGTGCAAGCAGCAGCACCTGGCCAGAGAGAGGCACTGAATGTAGACAGAAGAGAGGGGACTGAGAGGGCATGAACCCAAAGTCCCGGGCCAGAGCAGCCACACGGGTCGAGGTTGGGCCACAGGGGCCATAATGGGAGGTAAGACTGGATGGAGCAGTTGGGACTGCACTGTGAAGGGCTTCAAAAGCCAGATTAGGATTTGGTGCTTTATCCTGCAGGAGTTGGGGAGCCATCAAAGGCATTTTTATTTTATTTTTTTCATCAAAGAGCTCGGAGCGAGGGCATCTGACAGTGTGGTCAGATTTATGCGTTCACAAGATCCCCACAGCAGCTGGTGTGGAGGACGGACCGAAGGGGTGAGACCAGCGGCAGGAAGACCGACTTAGGGGGCGGCTGCCATAACGGTCCACCTGCGAGGTGGTGAGGCCCAAAGCGGGGCCCTCTCCCCTGGCACCCTGGGGGTGGTGGGGCCCCTGCTTGTCCAAGGCTCGTCCCCCTCCTGGGGCCCTGGGCAGCTGCAGAAGGCCCAAGCGGGCCCCAGCTCTGATGCTTCGAGCAGAAAATAGGATGAGGGCAGCCAAAAGGCATCGGGACTGTTTATCCAGAGGAGCCTTGCCTCAGTGTGGATTTATGGCTGAAAGGTTACTAGGGGGAGGGAATGGGGACCAGCTGTCCCCCCATCCTCACAAAGGGCGAATAAAGGAGGAGACTGTGGCCTCAGCTGCAGCAAGCAGGAGGGAGGTTAGATACATGAGGGGAAATGTCCTGGCAAGCATCAGAATGAAAGGAGCCTCCAGTGATCGCGCAAACCAGCTCTCTCAGTGAATAGCTGGAAAAACCGAGGCACAGAGTCGAGAGCAGTTCCCTGCCTAAGGTCACGGTGAATTAAAGCTACGCCTAGTCCCGACAGCACAACCTCCCCCTTTCAAAGACCCCTGGGGCCTTCCAGCGCACTCCACCTCCTAGAATGTTCCAGATTCTTCTGGGGCATGGCTGCTGCCGAGAGAAGTATATAAACGTAGCCATCCTGGAGAGAGAAGAACGGTTGGAAGGATCTCAGGGGGACTGAGCTGGTCTGGGTCTCGCTTTGCTGCCTCCTTGAGTTTTGCCTTAGTCTGAGGCCCTCACTTTCTCCATAGCTGTGTGTCTCTGCCCTCACCCCCGACCAGTCTCAGCATTTTGGCTATTAGGTGAGTTATCTTTTCTCTCTCAAGGGTACTGGTCTTTCTCTGTCACCCTGTCTCTCTCTGCCCTGTGAGACTCTGTATTTCTCTGACTTGGCCTCTACCTTGGTCTCCCTAGAGCAGAGCAGAGCTGACCTCCCACCCCCAAGCAGGCCCTCACTGGTACAGCGCCCCCATGCAGACAATGCCCAGGCCCAGTGCCCAAGCTGGAACAGGTGACAGCAGCTGCGGATCTATCTATAGCTCCCTTGCCCTCCGATTGTTCCTAACTTCAAACAATGGTTGGGCCCTGGATTAGAGACTCACCCCACCAGCCCTGCTGAAATGGATCCGGGGGCAAGGGGGGCGGGGGATGAGGCTCACAAGGGCCTGTCTGGACCTCCGTGTTCCCACCTGCAGCTCTGGGCCTTCCAGCTCAGAGGCGGTGTGAGTAAAGGACCAGTGGATAAAGGAACAGGGTGTGTGCGAACAGCAGGCCCGTGTATGGGAATGTGAGTATGTGGTATGTGGGTTTCCCTCCTCCTGCCTTGGTTGACGGACACTCATGGGCACTGGGATGCCACTGCCGTGAAGGCGGAGACCTAGTCCTTCTTATTCTCTGTTGGATCCCAGCCTGAGCTTGGCCGTGGCAAGTATTCAATGTGCATTTCTTAGCCCGATCCTCAGGAAGAGTGAAGGGGTGCTGTGTTAACGATACGACTCCTGTGTGCGGCAGTATAGAGTAGTGACCAAGAACATTTTATCTGAAGTCGGACTGCCTGAGACTGAATCCTGGCCCTGTCAATGAGTAGCTGTGAAATCTTGGAAATTTACTTAATCTCTTCACAATGGAGATTTGTAAACAGCACCTGCCACACAGGATTCTGATGAGCATGGTATGAGTTTAATTAACATTTGCAGTGCCTGGCACGTAATGGAGACTCAGCAAATTACTGTTGCTATTCCCATGATATATCACCAGGTGAAAAAGTGAGGAGAAGCACGTATGGGACATATAAAAGTGCAGAGAGAGGAGTTGTGTGTTCGTGTGCTCACCTGTGGAGGGACCACCTTTGAGTGGGAGTAGCAAGAAGCTGCCAAGACTGGTTGCCTCCGCAGAGGGGAATAGGTGGCTGGGGGCTGGGAAAAATGGGAGGCTTGTTTTTTCCTTGCATACCCTTGTTTACCTTTGAGTTTTGAATCATGTATATGCATTACCCATTTCTTAAGGGTTTGCTAAATAAATAAGGGTCACCTCCAACATGATGCTTGAAAAAGCAAGGTCCTGCTCCCTGTCTGTGGGGCACGCCTGGTTAGAGCTGGCCCCTCAGTGTGTGGGCTCATTGCCCTCAGCCATGGGTCTGAGTCCCGGGATACCTTCTTTCTTCTAGCCCAGTAGCCGACAAGGTGTGTCCATAAAAACCATTCCAGGGCAAATGGTAAGCCAGAGGGAGGCTTCCTAGTTTCTAGGCCAACCAGCAGGGGTGGAGGGGGTGGCGGAATCAGGCTCCTGCCCTCTTCCCTGGCCCCAGCCCCCCAACTCTCCAGTCCAAGCTATTCTTAGAGCCCAGATAATGCCAGCAGTTGCTGCTGCTCATATCAGCTTCCAGAACCACCCCGCCCGAGGGGCCCAGAGCTGCCCCCACCCTCTGGTGTGCCGGCCTCCCTGCCAGGTGTGGGCATGCTGCCGGCTGGCTCTGTCCTCTGTACTGCACGGGCTACACTGGCCACAGCAGGTAGGTCAGGGGACTGGGTGGCGAACCCCTCCAATATTCCTCTTGCCAGGCAGCTGCATGGACTAGGAAGGGCAGAAGGACATCCTCGAGTATGAAGTGTTCCCCCCCAGACCACCATCCAGATGGTCTGGCCCAACCCCAGGCTCTAAACTAAGCTCAGAATATGAATGAAAGGGGTAGGGGCCATGGACATGGGCAAGTCCTGGAAGCTGGGGGAGGGGAGAGCGGTAGGGATGGGGCCTGGGAGGGCCAGTGTTTGGAGGACAGAGGACGCCAAAAATAGGTGGTCTGGGGGAGAGATGGCAGAAGAGGGTCTGATAGCACTGGCTCCAGAGTCAGACTGTCTAGCTCTGCTCTGTACGTGTGATGTGACCTTGAACAGGTCTGTTCTCTCAAAGCCTCAGTTTCCATCATAAAACGGGCATAATCTTATTTCGTTGGGTTGCTATGTGGAGTCAGTATATACATACACTCGTGTATGTGTGTAAGTTCCATGATTTCATCACCTGTATAGGTTCATGGACCCACCACCACAGCCAAGGTAACTGAGCAGCTCCAACAGGATCCCGTCCTTCACCCCCGGCAACCTTTCATCTGCCCTCCATTTTTAACACTGCCAATTCAAAATGCTATGTAAATGAAATCGTACAGTGTGTAATCTTCTGAGATTGGCTTTTTCCACTCAGCATAATTCCCTGGAGAAATCCAAGTTGTTGCTCATATCAATGGTTCGTTCCTTTTTGTTGTGAGAACTCCACATTATGGCTGTACCACCACTTGTTTAACCCTTTACCTAGTGAAGTCTATTTGGTCAGCCCTCTTTTTGGGTTGTTATCAACTGTGTCTTGGAGGGGGAGGGGCCGAGGCCCCCCATACCCTCCAAATTCTTGTTCCATCAAATCTAGGGACAAATGCCAAGAATGCTCCCCACCCTTTCTACCCTCTTTCTCAGACCTGGTGTTAGGATTCAGTCATTCCCAAGTAAGCCAACCACCAACTCTTAGGCAAGAACGGAGTCTCTCTGGACCCCGCTGCCCCTGACCTAGAGGTCCTGCCCGCTCCCATTTCCTCTCGGGCCGCTCCACCCTCTCACTTGTTCCACTCCTGATACGCCACCCTTCTGAGAGTCCATCGTAAACTACACCAAACTCCTTGCTGCCTCCTCTGCAGTTCCCTCCAGAACACTCCCTCCCTGAATGAGGGCATGGCTACCGCCTTCTTGTCCTTCAAGTCTCAGCTCAAACGTCACCTCCTCAAAGAGGTCTCCCTTGACTGCACTAGCTAAATTAGGTCCCCGCTATAAATGTTATCTCTTCCCCATTGGTATCACATATATCAATTTTTAAATTTGTTACAATTATAGGTAGGTTTGCTGATTTGCATCCCCTCTCCACCCAAGACAAGGTCTTTCTTGAGACCCAAGAACAGAGAGACCCCACTGTGCATCCCCAGTAGCTAGAAAACTGGGCACAGAAGTACCCATGCGTGTGGGCCGTGTCCATTGGGACGGGGGAATTTGCCTCTCAAAAGCCATCTTTCCCAGGGGCCTCTCAGTCTCCTTCCCAGCGGTCCCTCCATGCCAGGCTGAGTGGGTATTGTGACTCTTATTTCTCACCCTCCCAAACCTAGACAAGCCTCTCCTCTCTTGCACCCCTGGGTTTGGTTGAACCAAGCTAACAATACAGTACAATACGGTACATTCTGCAGTCAGACTGCTCGAGTGCAGTCCCTCAGTTACTTAGTCCCTCATCTGTAAAGCGTGGTTAATAAGAGCACCCACTCTGCAGGGACTTAAAGTATGGGAAGGTGGAAGGGCAGGAGGACGACAGCGTGGGGAAAGGCTCCCATCGCTAGCTGCTGGGTGACAACTGCCTCCTCCCACACAGAGAGTTCTCAGTGTCACCCAGCCCTTCCTGGCTCCAGGGTCTCCCTACATACAGCCAGCACAGGTTAGGCCGGGGGCCTTGCCATCCTCTGGCCACAGGCAAAGTAAAGCATCACCTCCTCATCCCCTCATCCGTGAGCTGTGTCCATCCTGTCCTCACGCATCCATCCATCCATCCATCTATCCATCCATCCATCCATCCATCCATCCATCCATCCATCCATCCAACCATCCATGCATATATTTACTGAAAATAAACTGTGCTTATTAATCTGGAAAATCTCAATGGGATATTATTTCACCCTCACTAGACTGGCAAAAAAAAAAACCAAAACCCAAAAACCTGACAACACTGAGCTGTTCTGCGAGGACTCAGAACAAGGGCAACCCAAATACACTGCTGGAAGGAATGCAACTCCGCCAACCACTTAGGAGAGACGTGTTGTGTTTTCTAGCAAATCCGAATGTGCTCGTGACTTCCAACACGCTGTGCAGGGAGGCACGGGGCAGACTGTTCACCGTCGGCAACTGTAAAGCACGAGAGACAACCCGAAGGACCTTCACAGGGGAAGAGGTAAATGAAATGTATTCTCGTGCAATGAAACCTAGAGCACAGTGAAAACGAATGAATGAAGTACTTTTCTCAACATGGGCGACTCTCCAACGTGAGGCTGAATAAGAAAAGCATAAGCCACACAAGAATACACACAGTGCACTACCATCTAAAGCCCTCCCCAAACAGGAAAAATGATATCATGTGTTGTTTAAAAACACACACCCAGTGAAAGGATTAAAAATGCCTTGGACCTGCCTCACCCCATATGTAAAACTTAACTAAAAATCGAAGACCTAAATGTAAGAGTGGAAACTACGAGACTCTTAGAAGACACAGGTGTAAGTCTTCATGATCTTGGATTAGGCGATGGTTTCTTAGATACGACACTCGAAGCACAAGCAGCCACAGGGAAAACAGACGAACTGGACTTCATCAAAAATCCGGGCTTCAAAGGACACTGTAAAAAAACAGCAAGACAGCTCACACAACAGGAGAAACTATTTGCACATCATACATCTGCTAAGGGTCTGGTATCCAGAATATATAAAAAATTCTTTTTTTTTTAATTGACTGGGTTTGGAGAGAGAGAGAGAGGAAGGGAAAGGAAGAGAGAGAAACATCGATTTGTTGTTTCACTTATTTATGCATTCGTTGGTCTGTTCTTGTACGTGCCTTGACCGGGGATCAACCCAGCAACCTTGGCACATCAGGATGGTGCTCTAACCAACTGAACTACCTGGCCAGGGAGAGAATGTATAAAGAATTCTTAGAACTCAACCATAAAAAGACAAGTCACCCAATTTGTAAATGGGCAGAAGACTTCAATAGACATTTTCCCAGAGGAGATACACAAATGGCCAATAAGCACATGAAAAGATGCTCATTGTTAGGCATTAGGAAAATGCAAATTGAAACCACAATGAGATACCACACTAGGCCTGTCATCATCAGGCAATAACAGGGGTTGGTGAGGATGTAAAATTGGAGCTCCCATGGACTGCTGGTGGGAATGTAACACAGTGCAGCCACTTTGGAATAGTCTGACAGTTCCTCAAAAAGTTAAACAAAGTTGTCGTATGACCCAGCAAGTCCACTGCTAGATATATACCCAAGAGAACTGAAAACATTTGTATAAAATGTTTGTGTAAAACATCCATATAAAAATTTGTACATGAATGTTCACAGCAGCATTATTTATAATAGGAAAATGTGGACACAACCCAAATGTCCATCAACTTATGGATGGGTAGATGGATGGATGGATGGATGGATGGATGGATGGACGGACAGACAAAATGTGGTCTCTCCACACAATGAAATACTACTCAGGCCAAAAAGATACACTGATCCATGCTACAAGATGGATGAACCCTGAAAACACCATAGTAAGTGGCAGAAGCCGGACACAAAAGGCTACATATAAGATTCCATTTATGTTAAATATCTGTAACATTCATAGAGACAGAAAGATTAGTAGCAATTGCCAGAGGCTGGAGAGAGGGAGGAATGGGGGAGTGGCTACTAACCGGTACAAGGTTTCTTTTGGGTGATAAAAATGTTCCGGAATTAGATAGTGGTAATGGTTGCACAATCTTGCAAATATAATAAAAGCCACCAAACTGTACACTTAAAAGGCTGAACTTTGTGGTACAGAATATGTCAATAAAAATTGCACAGGAATAATAAACACCAAATTCAGGAGAGTTTGTAGTTGGGAGGTGCGGTTGTGGAGGACCTTCAGCTCAATAAGCAGTGTTTTATTTCACAAGTTGGGTGGTGGGTGCAAGGGTGTTCATCATACTCATCGTCATCCCTTTCTCAATGTCTTCACAACAAACAAAATTTAAGAGTATTTACTGAGTGCTGACCTAGACCAGGCACTGGGCTACCTGGGTGGTGTAATGGTAATAAAATCAGATCCCATCCTGCCCCAAAATGGATAAGGATAAGTAGTAAGCAGAGAAGAGGGGCTATAAGTCAGTCTTCCCCTTTCTGGGCTTGTGACCTCATGGATGAAATGAGAGCTGGACTAGAAGCTTGTTGGCAGAAAGTCTCCGAGGATCCTGGGGGCTGAGGAGTATGTCTCCCCTTTATTAGCCCACAGCTTCAAGAGTTCATGCGTGATGAGCATCCAGGCCATTCATCATTGCAAGCAGCCGAAGGCAAAGCTCAACTGAGTCTCTGTTTCTTCTCAGTGACACCAGGATTGTAGCTTCTCCCACCCAGATTACTGTCGGGGTGTAAATGAGATAACACATATAAAGTGTCTGGGACAGGCCTGGCACACAGTAAATCCTCAACACATGGAAGAGGCCTCACTTTGATTCTCAGGCATTTCCGGAGCAGCACTGCTGGGCCAGGCCCACACAAGGGGCTGGATGACAGAGGAATTCCACCCTGAATGTCTAAGCAGTGGCTCCCAAGCCAAGTGGGGAGACAGCCTCATAAACAATACCAGGTGGGGTGATGTCATTGCTAAAAGGAGACAGCAGTCACGTGGCCACTGTAGACCATGGGCAATGCAGACCCTGGGATGGCAGAGATGCCCCAGTCAAGAGGTCCAGGCTTGGAAAGATGCAAAGTCTTGAGGCCAGAGAGATCTCAGGCCAGTTCTCTAATCCTGGGTTCCTTGACCTGGGATCCCTGAGTAGGCTCTAGGAGGTCTGTGGATACCTCTACATGGTGTGCAAGGGGTTTGTGTCTTATGGAGATTCTTAAAGGAGTCTATGGCCACAAAACTAACAAACCACCAACTCAACTTAACTTAGCGTGTCTTCGTATCCAACCTTTGGAGATACAGTGCAGTAAATCCTCACTGAATGTCTTCGATAGGTTGTGTGGCTTTAAGTGAAATGACAAATAATGAAACCAATTTTATCATAAGCTAATTGACGTAAACAGAAGCTCCTATGGTTATAAACTACCTTGAAAGGCTGTGAGATTAAGCTGGGCAATTTAGAAGTACCTGAAACATCCTAAGCTTTCACCTAATGTTGGTTTCCTTCCCTTCCTCCATCCCCAGCTTACTCCTACCATTCACAAATAATGAGCATCTACTGTGTGGCAGGCAGGCACCAGTCCAGTGTTGGGTGGAAAGTGGTGAACCAGACAGACATCATCCCTGTTTTCATGAAGGTTACATTCTAATAATGCAGGGGAATACTAGATACATAGAATTAATCTTTTCAGACACTAATAGGTGCTACTAAGAAAATGCATAGGATAATGTGATACAGACTGATGGGGTGGGGATGGCATCTGGAGGAGCCAGTCATGGTAAGATTTAGGGGCAAAGCCTCACTGGAAGACCCTTGGTCAGGAGCCCCTCCCTGCCAGTCCCATCCCAAACTAGGTGCCCTTAAACAAGTCACGTAACTTCTGAGGCTCAGCTGCTGCATCTATACATCTATAGAATGGGAGTAAAAATGCCTTCCCTACCAGAATGTGAGGGGACTCAACCAAAAGGCTGTTTAGGTCTGGAATCCTCCCCGAATCTCATGAACAGACACCTGCTATATCATTGGACACCTGTCTTGGAGGAGAGGAACCATGAACCCTGGCTCGTGATTTGTTATTTCATGCTGCACTAGAAATAGCTTTCTTTGTTCCTCTTTAATACAGTAGGCTTTTCCTGCCACCTGGAGCCTATCGCAGTAACTGCTGCATCAAACTCTTCCTCAGGTATGAAAGGAGACCAAGGAAGGACATCATGGAACACTGTTGTGGTTATAATCGAACTACATATCCTTTCCCTCCCCGCTAGCAAGACTGAAGAGCGCAGTCTGTCCTATAGACAGAGGATGTAAATGCTTTATTTAAGAAGTTGGAAGCACCCTGGCCTATGGGTTGGACCATTGACTTATACTCAGTCCGAGTAGTCCCCTTCTCTCCATCTCCTCAGTCACTGCGTCATCATCTCACAGTGTCCTGGTAGCTCTCTCTCTCTCTCTCTCTCTGGCCTTACTTAGTCTCCCCACTTGCAAACCATTTGCCAAACACAAAACAGACCATGTTTCTCCCTTTTTTCAAAGATTTTATTTATTGATTTTTAGAGAAAGGGGAAGGGAAGGAGAGAGGGAGAGAAACATCAATGTGTGGTTTCCTCCTGCATACCTCCTACCAGGGACCTGGCCTGAAACCCAGGCATGTACCCTGACTGGGAATCGAACCATTGACCCTTTGCTTCCCAGGCCCATACTCAATCCACTGAGGTACACCAGCCAGGGCCATCCTACTTGAACTCTTAAGACAGCTTCCCACTGTTCATTGGACAAATTCCGAACTCCTTACTCTGGCATCCAAAGCTCCCCCTCCAAGACCGAGCTCCTTCCTAATTGCCTGCTTCAACTCCCAGGCCCTTCTCAGTATCCACACCAAACTCCTAATTGGCTCTGAAACAATCCAAGCCACACAGAATTATTTGCCTTTGCAGTTTCTCTTGGTGCATGTGAAACGCTGTCCCCAATCCTGCCTTTCACCTCCATCCCTACTTCTTTCACTGCCTGCACATTTCTACCTACCCGAGACTCTCAAAGCCTCCCCCTGATTCCCCAGAAAACCACTCTTTACAGGTCTACCTTCTTAATTAGTTGTGAAAGCAGGGGCTCTGTCTTATTCATGATCAATTCACCAGAAGCTGGACCGAATTCAGTTTAACTACGATTCTTATCAAGTACTTCAGTTTGAGAACAAACCTATCATAAACCAGACAGAAAAAAACAGTTAAGGCGTTGGGAACCTGCCAAGGAGTGAGGTGTGGGTAGGTATCTACATAAAAAAGAACCTACATAAAAAATAAAATTAAAAATTAAAACAATAACAACAAAAACAAAGACACTGCCCCAGATCCTGATGCAAGTGATTGTGGACATTTTGAGAAACACTGGGTAGCCCTCAACAGTTCCTAACTTTAAAAATGCTAGAAAAGTGAAAGTGTTTTCCTTTTGCCTCTAAGGCTCTTCCTGCAGCTGTCACGGGCTAGAGGAAGCAGGTGGGCTTTTCCGGGACCGGGCTGGGTGGAAAATAAGCCTGGGTTCCAACACTGGCTCAGCTCTTAACATGCTATGGTACCCTGCACCGGTCTCTGCCCCTCTCTGGGCCTCTATTACCACATCTATCCCCACCAGCTGTGTGTCCCCGAGGTAGTCACTGCTCCATTCTGGGTGTGCTTCCCATCTTACACCGGACATCACCAACTCTGACGCCCTACGAGCTGTACAAAGCAGCAACACCCAGCCAACACAGCCTGACTCCTCTTCTCTTTCCCAAAGTCTTGTCGTCTTGTATCCAGCCGACTCAACCTAAGGCCAGAGATGCTCCCACACGGACCGCCCCTTCCCGGCCGCCGTCCAGCTACCAGGCACGGGTCTCCGCCCCGGCCAGCTCTAAAGGCTCCGCCTTGGGCAGTCTGCGCAAGCGCATTGGATCGCACGGAGACCCCGCCCCCTGGACCTCTAGTAGCGGCTCGAGGGGCTTGAGTACAGGGCGCTGCGGGACCTAGAGCAAGTAAGTTGGGGGAGTGGCGACGGCGGCCGGCAAGGGTCACGTTTCCTCCGGAGGAAGGATGTAAGGGAGGGGAGGGGACTGGCCAGCGACTGGCACCCTGGAGATCAGGAGATCTTGCAAATCAAACTCAATGGCAGGAACAGGGAAGTTGGTGTCCAGTGAGGGGGTTGGTCTGGTGCGTGTTGATCTCACGTCTCCCAAATCTTCTGACTTCAGATGGGGCCGCTGACGGGAACATGGTGCGGGTGAGACTTAAAGCCCGAATTAAAAAAAAAAATTTTTTTTTTAAGTGGGAGCGACTAGGACCAAACTGTCCAGGGTGGGAGCCAGCAAGCCCGTGAACTGGAGCAGGCCTAGGCAAGAGACCGTGTTGTTAATCTCGGCCTTTACACGGGCGCTGGTCCTGCCCTCGGGGTAAGGTCCGACCGGTTTCCGTGTGGGCGTTGTAACGCTTTTGGTGATCTGGCCCCAGTCTGTCATTCATTCATCATTCTTTCATTTAACATTCAGTGGAATACGGTAGTAGGTGCTGGAGGTAGAGAAGTGATCAAAACAGTTACGGTGCAGGGAAATGTAAAGGGCTGTAGAAGCCCCCGATGCAGAGGAACAAGGACGACTTCTAAAACAAAGTCAGGAACCTGGTTAGGAGTGGCGGGGAGGGTTCCAAAGAGAGACAACAGCACGTGCCAAGACCTGGAAGCGGGACAGAGGCTGGTGTATGCTCGTCTCTGAAGATAATCTCACCCTGAATCTATTTGGTGCCCAGGGTGTTTAGTGCTAGGCTCCTAACAGTCGAGATGGAGAGAAGTCAGGGAATTCAAAGGACTATATATTTAGACTCCACAGGATTTGGGGAGAATGGGGTGTAGAAGTATGTGCAAGGCCTGGGTGCCCTGGTGGGATTCGTCAGAGGAAGAGCAGATTTGTGAGGAGGCAACAAATTCTTACCCTAGCTCTGTGAGGACTCTCAGTAAGCAGTTGGATATTCTAGTTTGCAAGTCAGCAAAGCACTGCTGTAAAAGTACAAATTTGAGTGGCATCAGCAAAACAAAGCCATAAGAATGGTTGAGACTATAGGAGAAAAATGAGGGGCCCAATTGGCATTTTTCGTGGTGATTATGTCTTATCTTTCTC